TCGGTAGAATTTATAGAATATTGTAAAAATTATGGTAACGAACTACAAACATATTAACGCCAAACATTTGGTAGAATTTATAGAATATTGTAAAAAAATATATGTATATATATATATATATATATATATATATATATATATATATATATATAAACACACATTAGATTACCGAATGCAAGACTTCATTATAGGACTGACAAATAATTTTGATTCAAATGTGAATAAGACCATCGAAAGAAATTACGATCTATGTGGTCAGTGGCAAGGTCCTGTGAAACCATTTGGTGAACCAATGGAGGTAAATTGTGTTTATGGTAATATATTTTCAAGGTACGTCATCGTACAACAGTCTCCAAAAATTGAAGAACAATACAAAGATAAGGGCTTAGCATTTGCTGAGCTTGAAGTTTATGCAGGTAGCAAGTTATATTTTGTTGCTCCATTTTTTACATTAACCATATTTGCAAAATATTTTTAACAAGATTTAACAAGGTAATTTTGTTGTAAGAATAAAGTACACTTAATAACAAATCTGTGATGATTTTTAAACTATTTCGCAGAAGTTCAGGCAATTTCAACTAAAATCAACAACGTTCTTGGTTCGACTTTTGTCAACTAAGTATTATGTGAACTACTCGATAACAATTAGCGGCCTTGTCATTGCTTACAAATCTTGTGTCAACTTTCTATTTACGATATACATTCATTATTATTATATGATTGACTGACTGAATGATGGAGTGTTAGATTAATAGAACTAAACTAATTCAGATGATAAATGATGGAATTTTTCGTTGGTTTTTCAAGTGAACTTGTGGCAACGATGTTTATTCTAACGATAAGGACGCCTACTTTGAAATGTATTTTGTAATTAATAAAATGTATGTTAATTATCTTAAACAATCACGTATGAAACTTTACTTTTTGAAGTTTTAATAAAAAATAATGTGGATCTTTTAAATTATTAAATAATATTGAACGACCTAAATATTTTAACTAAATTTTTCCCAGCAATGTAAATGTTAATAAAATTCATTCAATATTACCTTTGTGTATTTGACAATTATTTTTGACCTTTTTGTTTATTCCAAATTTTTCTCCCTTATAGTATTTATTGTCTTGATGTTAATTTTCATAAAATTTTTAGTTAAGTATAATGACATTTTAAATGTAATATGGTATATTGACGTTATTTAGTTAAGTTTCCTCTGCTTATCATTTCTCAAACATATTTGTTAAGCGTTTCTTGTTTAATTAAACAAAACTTAAAAATGACCCTTTATTAACAACTACATTGATCAGCAGATTTAGACCTAACAAGACTTCTAGTTTATCCAATTCAATCAACTGAATATGCAAAACAGAAATTCAAGTAAGTAAGTTAAAATTCGAAAGATTTCGTTTCTATTTACATAAAAAATATTGTAAGGAATATAAGTTTTCTAACAAAAACACAAATTAACGGGATATAATGGGATTTTGCAAATTATGATGTTGCCGATTTTAGAGACATGCACGATCCGGATGATTCGACCCAAAATAAAAACGAGCTATCTGAATATCTTAAGTTAGAGGTAAACAAAAGCACGAGCATTTCATCATTTTGGATAGAAAAAAAGGCAATATATCCATTACTATACGAAGTTGTTTATCAAGTTTTGTGCACACAAGCGACTTTGCCAGACATTTCGTTATACTGCAATAACTTTATTATAATACAAATATTTGTCTTTTTGTATTTGTTTCCCATTAATTATTGTTTATGTCTAAGGAAAATGTTTTCAAGTAGTTGAAATCTTATTTAAAGGGATTGGAAGGGAAGTGAATATGTTAATCCTAATCTACAGCATGATAATGAGGGAAAATGGGAAATTTAGATTAGAATTGATGGAAATTGGAATGAATAGTTTACGACCCGAACATTTTTACATGGTTTTTTTGTTGGGATAAAACGTACGCAAATATAACGTATTTTCGATTAAAAGTACTAAAATTTTGGTCTGCTGATTAAAAATTCAATTTAAAAAATTTCATTATAATTTATTCTGAGAAATTTGATTCGTTGAAGATAATTGAGCAAACGATTGAGGATAATTGCTGTTTTAACTTGCAGCAGGATATCCGTATGTTTAACAATTTACATTTATCACGAATAAATAAATGAAAAGAAACAACATCTTTTTACTCACTCTCTCTCTCTCTCTCTCTCTCTCTCTCTCTCTCTCTCTCTCTTCTCTCTAATATAAATATATATTATTGACATTTATTAAGCGCCAATTAAAAATAATAACGTTAATTTTTCAAAAGTGCTTTTTAATAATTAACTAAAATGGCCAAAACAGTGGATATAATAAACCAAGAAATAAATCAGTTCACACATTCATAAATAAATAATATAAAATAATGTAAATCACAAAATAAATTAATTCACATTCATTGATTAAATAAACTGAAGTTTCCTGAAGTTTTTAATTCCTAAATCATCTGTTTTCAATGACCTCGGCAAGCTGTTCCATACCATCGCTCCAGAGACTGCAAAATCTTTTGTCCCCGTCTGCAAACGAAAATCAGGCACAACCATCAAATTGTCATCGTCAGATCTCAAAATGGCACCAATACGTAACGTTGATTTTTTTTCTGAATCTTGCATGTCAAATATTTTGGCATAAACTCATTTAAGACCTTGTACATTACCTTACTGATTTTATAAATTATCCTAAGTAAGCCAATGTAGGTCTCTCAGAATTGGAGTGACGTGGTCAAATTTAGCGCCGCCTGCAACAATTTTAGAAGCTCTCTTCTGCACCGATTGAAGCGTCGCAACTGATCTGTCAGGTAAACCACAAAACCGGCGGTTGCAGTAGTCCAATCTTGAGTGGACAAACACATGCATTAAAGACTGCATTGTTGATCTGTATATATATATGAGCATCTGAGCACATACACAACATATCAATTCTAACACCAATTCCCAGTTTCTCTCCATTCGTAACAGCTGTCAAAACTTAGTGTTGATTCCGTCACAGTACCATTCAGTTTTGCGAAAAGCAACAAATCTTGGATGTGTTCTCGATTCGGGCTTGACGATGAGTGATCATGTGAAGAAGCTGACTAAATCGTGTTCTTTACAACTGCAGCAATTGAAAAAACTATGCAAATCATTGGACCGGTCGACGGCGCAATCTTTAATACATTCATTTGTGCACTCGAGACTGGATTACTGCAACGGTTTGTTTTATCGATTGTAAAAAAATCTTTTCTCCAGTCTACTCAAAGTAGAGCAGCCAAACTTATTATGAGTAGTTCAAAATACAATCATGTCACGCCAATTTTAAAAGACCTCCATTGGCTTACAGTAAAGAAAAGAATTGTATACAAACTGTGTGTTTTAATGTATAAAGCTATAATGGTTTGCTCCCAGATTATTTAGTTAAAAAAATCAGAATCAGTAATAACGAGTGGTATGAACCTGAGATCAGACGATGATATTATGTTGGTTGTTTCTGGTGCTCATTTGTAGAAAGCATCGAGGAGCATTGCAGTTTCAGGACCGGTTGCGTGGAACAATCTGCCAAGTCAATGAGAATATCAGAGATGAAATTTGAAGCTTTGTTGTTTTAATCATTACGTTACATTTTTGATTTTTTTTGTATGCAATGCAGTTTTACTTATACTTTTGCCAGTAGATAGCGATTTTGAGAATCTTTATTTTTAATTAGCGCTTTATAAATTTTTTTTAATAAAATAATAATCAATCTTCGTTTAGCGTCCAGAGACCCAGTTTCCCGAGGTAGGACGTTTAAAAATAATATATATATATATATATATATATAATATATAAATTTGTGAGCAAAATGCCTTCATTAAGATAATTATGCTTTGATTGTGATCTCGGTGTATTTTTGTTATTTTCACTACCGGATGTACGCTACACACAAACACGCACGAACACACGCGCGCAAGCACACACGCACACACATACACACGCTGGCTCATACGCACAAATATATTTAATAAACAATACACACATATTTTATTAATATAATATATATATATATAGATAATATTAATAGTTTAACGTTACTAAAGATATAAAAATCATTTCAAAACTCGATAACAAATGCTATTGGAATGAATTCAATCGCACCGCAACATGATTTGATTCTTTTCATTTAGAAAACAAAAATAAAATAGTGAGTAGCAGGTGATAAAAACACAAAATAATATCAGAAAAACCAATGAACAATACAATAACAATTATTATAAATGATCACAGTTGGGTAACAAACCAATACCGAGATGATGATTAAACCTGAACAAAAATACTTTATGTCCGGTAAAAAATATTGAAATATATTGTAAGGAATATAAGTTTACCAACAAACACGCACAAATACAACACGCACTCATACATGCAATCATCCTTCACTCACAATTAGTGCCATCATTTAATACAAGCGCACATACATGTGTATATATACAAGATAGAGATGCGTGTATATTCGATTTCTTATAAAGTTGAGCAGATGTGGTTTGTGTTGAAAAGTTTTAAGAGCGATTGTGTGTTTTTTAAATACGGATAATTATAAAATGCTTATTCCTAATCCTAAAACTTTGGTTATAGTTTTTTCAATAAATTTATGGTCGTCCATCATAAGTTGTTCCGATTCGTATTGCGATATCACCTCTAAGTACTGTTTATACACGGTTGACGATGATGAACATTCGTACGAGGAGGCTTATTCGGACAATTTTTGTTCCCAAAATAACCGAAGTGGGTGGTTGTTGGAGATTTACGATGATGATGCTCGGCGATTGGTTGATCAGTTCGTAGTAAGCAAAGGTTTACAAAATAAAAATTTTCTTCTGGGAACAAAAATATCTCCGAAGAAATGGACATGGATCAATGGTGCTTCGTGTTGGTTTGATTTAATTTAAAAATTATTTCATTTAACTTCGATTAATGTTTTTGGTTTGCAAAACTGAAGTTATATATTTTATTATATATTATGGTTGAAGTTTCAAAATAAACGTTTGATTTATTTGTGTCAAAAAGTAATTTTATGAAAATTTTTAGTTTCTGGTGATGTTGCCAATGAAGATGTTAACGTTTTCACAATGGTCTTTATATACAAAGAAATTTCAAGGGTGGATCGTCGAGAAACTGTGAGATACTGGTCTAGCGCGCCAAGAAGCAATAAGAATGTTTTGTGCTCTGCGAAAGGCAAGTTTGATTTTTTTCTTATTGAGATGTTTTTATTTTTAAGAATATTAATAAAGAGTTAAACTCATTCTAACGTCCAAATCATTATGGTTGTTTTAATAATTTCATAAATATCTAGATGTCACTAACTGTTCTGGTCCCACAAGTTGGCCTCGTGGAAAGTCATGTTACTTCCCTATCAAAATAAGATTTCCCTGGTACAAGGGTCATTACGAATGTGCCAAGTTAGGTGGAGGTTTGGCTGTTTTGGATGAGTTGAATGCAGATGATATCGATCAAATGTGGACTCAGCTGGATCTGCAAAATGAAACATATTGGATCGGCCTAACAATGACCTTGTTATGGTGGAAAAAAAAAAGGTTGGAGAATTTACACCAGAATTTGTGCCCAAAAAATGTCTTCTTTGTTTTCTGAACTTACAAATATTGGCCACCCCTACCTACCACTCGTACATGTGTAGAAATGAGTTGGAATCACGGCAGAAAAGGCGCATGCAATAAGGCGCAATTCCGGATATTACATAAATACTTTATTCACATATTTATATTATAGTTTACGTTTTTTGTTGTGTTAAAAAGTTATTTTAACGGAGATTTTAGTAGGTGAATTTAATGCATTTATATTATTTTAAGCGTAACGAATTATTTATTAATAAATTATTTGATTGAAGTTATATCATTAATATATGGTTTTGTTAATGACTTTATGAGTTACGTTAATAGTAATATTTAAATGCTGTAAAAGTGAATGTAGAATGGGTATTCAATTGTGATTTTAAAAGCAGGGTTTTATTAAACCATGGATTTTAGGTTTTATTAATATGCTTTTTGTTGGGTAAAGAGGAGCAGAATTTGTTTTATTTATAACCAGCAACAATTTGAAATTTTTTAAAATCAAAAAGTTCTAGCAAGTGGATAATCAAACGTAATGTGAAGAAAATAAATAGGTATCCGTGGTTATAGTTTAATTTTGTGATTGATATTTGTACGGTTCATACTATTAAAAATTAATTTCTAACAAAAGCAAAATTGGCACGGTAAATTTAAATTTTTTATGAATTTAGACATTTATATTGCAAATAATACGTTTAGAACAGTTTCTAAACTACCCTAATTGGAAAGATGGTTACCCATATGATTTGCTTCAACATCCATGTACAGTTTTAACAACGTCATCAAACGACAACCCTATTTTTAACAGTTGCAAGATTGAACGACTCCAGGTCATGTGCATGGAAGGCTAGGCTAAACATTTTTAGGCTGAACTTTTGCATTTCCCTGTAATTTAAATGCTACTGAGTAAATCGAACTGCTAATTTATTGCATTAGTTGTTTTGTTCGTTTACTTTTTTTAAACGATCTATTAATATAAACGTTTTAATAATAAATTAACCATCAAGAAAATAAAAACTTCAACGCAATGCCCTCACCACCACCCACAACAACTGACCTGATGAAACCATCGTCGGAGAATTCGATAATTTCAACTTCCAGCATTTTCAACCTCCGAGATCTCAATACAAACAACTCTCAAGCTTCAGACGATGCATTCATCCAAAGTTCGTTCGAATATTACTTTAAGATTTCATCTGCTAACTTTTTACTGGAAAAATTCGGTTTAAAAAGCATGCAAGCTTGTTTCATTTTAACTGTCAATTCAAGTTCTAACAGTTTATTTTTTTGTTCTGTTCTATCATCTGCCACAGTTGAGACTCAGGTGGTTAAAAACCTATATGAGATCAACAACACTGTTCAACAATTTTTATCTTTTGAAAAAAAAACAACAATCAAATAGGATTATCTTTATTAAATCAGATGTGCTGATTCTGAATCTATAAATCAGACAAAAGTTGTTCAAATACTTTTTGAATTTTATTTGCTTAAAAACTATGCAATTTAAATGGATTTAGATGCTTTTATTGATGGGTCTGTGTCAAAAGATGACAAGAGAAATATAACTCATATGCATAAATTGTTCAAGTCTGTTTTTTTTGTGAATGGACTTGTTATCAAAGCTTTTATTTGTAAAGGTTTTGGTTTAAACTTGAAAAATTCTCACTCACCTCTACTTTAAACTTTATAAAAGTGATCGACGTAAACGTGACAACTGTATTTTCAGGCTTTCTACCACCTTAAACAATCGAAATTCAATTCACTAACTAAATTTTCATCGAGAAGTTTGTAAAAGTGATTGTGTCCCTCCTAAAAATATGTCTATGAAGTTGGCAACTTTGCCTATGAACATTTTCAACTCGACATTTGTAGTTTATAACTCGTTTCATCGATCCACTTTAATATGAGCTTGTAGTGTCCTGTGAAATAAAAAAAATCAGGAAAGTTTACAAACTTTGAATTTTTGTTACAAATTATAAAAATTGAAAATAAACCTGCAAACCAAAAGTTAAATGTTACAGCTCTCAACACATCAACATTCAAATAGGTATGACCATCAGTTTCGGAATTATATTGCCTTCCTTGATGATCGCTATCATTATCTTGACAATTACGTGGCTGAAACTCAAAAAACAGTCCAAGTATTTAATTGTTCTTGTGAAAATTAGAGTTTTTTAAAAATTTAAATCAGATAAATAATAACAAAACGAATGTTTTTAAATAAAAATAATATGCATGGCTTAAAAAAGATTTTTTTCATAAATTTTTAGAAAAATTACATCTCTTACGAGGCAAGTTGAAAGAGACTTAACCTATCAAAAAATCACTTGCCTCGCGGACACCGATGATTCAATCAATCCGAACAAGACTGAAGACAGCGTGAGGCCATACACTTCTTTATTTTTTGGCCAGAGCCGGATTTAAAGGATTGCAAATGTGACTGATGCTTCGGGGCCTTCACAGAAATAAATATTAAATTACGACGCGTCAGTAAGTTCTAAGATTTTCGGACCGCTTTTTACATCTTTACCGTACAGACATACTTGCATTGCTCAATTCTTTATCGCAATATTTTAGTGTTCAGTATATTGTATTTGAATTTCATAACTAAATTTCTTATTAAACTGATTTTGTTTGTTGGAAAAAATTAAAAAAAAAGAAGAAAATTTTGTATTCTGAAAATAATTAGACTTGAGAATCTTTAAATTAAAAAATCCGGCCCCTCCTCTCTTTATTGAGGTTATCGAGCTCTTACTAACGACAGTGTTTTTATTGATACTCGGTTTGAGGAATGGATAAATTTGTCTAAATATAATCTCACGATGCCGCGAAAAACCATTTTGAAGCGACATTAGGATACGAACAAGCATTTCTGTTGGTAGTAGTGCGATCGTGCTGAGAAATGCGAAACTGTCAGATGTTTAAAATGTTCATAACTAATAGTAATTAACGATGAAAATATTAAGTTCCCTAAACGGTTCTTATTGTGAAATATTTTTCCATCCAGCTTTCACTTTATAACGGCAATACGTTAGAGTACCAGTACAAAATACCGCGTAGAAACATAGTAGTATGCAAGTCTTTTTGTATTTCGACGCGATGTTTTATTGTGATGGTAATTTAATTGTTCGTATAGCCAGCCACCCATGCATGCTTCCGTGGCTGACGGAATTATAATAACAATCAATGTAAGTGTTCCAGGAGAACGAAAAACGACAAAAGCCATAAAAATAATGACAACTAAAAATAAAATCAAAATAGCAGGCGAATGCGATAATTATAAGAAATGAATTGGAGAATAAAAAAAATACGAGTTATTTTTCAACCGGATGCAGAGCACGCAAACAAATGTGTGGTGCATGTAGATTAGTGTGGTTACATTGCTACAGGTAATACCATGCTGCTGACGCGAGAACACGACACTCCTACTCACAATGCATTACTGAGAATCATGGCCTAAAGATTCAACTGTGGCTGATAATATTCTGGCTGCTTATCTGTCTAAAATAACACACATATCCATTAATAAAGATAACTTCATAATAATTTTCTCAGTGCCTCGCTATCAGGCTCAACATCCAGCGTCACCATGTCTACATGAAAATTATCTTCAAATTCATCTTCATCTAAAGTACTGACTTAAATTCTCATAATTCTAAAATAAATAAAAATACTCAATTTTAATTTATTAGAGATAAAAATATACATTAAAAACTCAAATTTGTCCAAAATTTGATTAACCTTGTCATTCAAGGGACATTTCGTTTTTAGCGATGCTCTTCAGAATTCACACTCTTTAAATCGAATCTTTCTATGGCACCAAGGCATATTTTTTCTTTCTGCTTGAGCAAAGGAAATTTGTTTTACTTAGATGCAGTTTAAAGTGCCACCTGAGAACCGATGTCCAACAGGTCATCAAGTACAACCATTAAAACCTCTTCTTTCAGCGTCTGAGCTGGTCCAGCTCTGTTAGCATTTTTACCAGATTTTACCGTTTTTTCATTAAAAAATCAAGCTTAGCAATGCATTTTTTTAAATGTTTGGTTTGTGCTCCTGCTATGTTTTAAAAAAATGTAAAACTCCCTGTATTGTTAGCCTAACTGCATCTCTCATATACGTTTCCTTTTACAAATATTATAAAAAAAACTATCCAGCGCTCGATATGTGTGTGTATGTATGTGTTTGTGTGTGTGTGTGTATGTGTATGTGTGTGTGTGTGTGTGTGTGTGTGTGCGTGCGTGTGTGTGTGTGTGTGTGTGTGTGTGTGTGTGTGTGTGTGTGTGTGTGTGTGTGTGTGTGTGTGTGTGTGTGTGTGTGTGTGATGGTAGTATCACCAGAGCAACTAATTTAGTAGATCCTATAACCAATAAAATAAATTTTATCTTTTTGTCTCGAACTTCTCATAACAGATTTAGATAAAAATATTTTCATCACAGCTGCATCACACAGACATATTTAGGCCAATATGAACTGAACGCGGACATACACGTGCACAGTTGCTCACACACACACACACACATACACACATAAACTTTCATTGTTAGTTTCCATGGACTCCAGAATGCACTGAATCAGCATTCAAGTGCAATCTGCTGACTGCACTGAATATGTTGGATTTAAAAAAATGACTTGAAAGCTTTTTATAAATCTCAACTTGAAAAAATTCATTAAAGAAGTACATAAATGTACTTCTAAACAGGTGAAACAGGTCAACAGCTTCAATTATCTCGGAAGTCTGATTACCTCAGGTTGTAAATGTGATATGGATATCAAAAAAAAAATAGCAACAGCTGTGGCGAAAGATGCACGTTCTAAAATGAAAAACATCGTCACCAGCAGTAAAATCAGAATATCGACAAAATTAAAATTGTTAGGGTGTTACATTTTTTTTGTGTTAACTTACGGCTCTGAGTCATGGACAATTTTTAAAGAAATGGAAAAAAGATTACCGCTGCTGAGATGTAGTTTTTGAGAAGAATTATGAAAATTAGTTGGACCTCTCATAATTTGAATGAGGATGTATTAAAATAAATTGAAAAGAGATTAAGAAAAGAGGAAATTACTACAGATAATCTGACGGGGCAGTTAAAGTTTTTTAGTTACATCATGCGGAAGGAAAGAATGGAAAATCTAACGACTACTGGGAAGATTGCAGAGAAAAGAGATCGCGGTCAACAACGAATAACATTTGTGAAATCCTTGTGTCACTTGTTGAATATCACAACATTTCAACTAATAAAAAGTGTTAAGGATGGGGTTTTGTGGAGGTCGATGGTCGCCAATGTCCTGAAAGGAAAAGGCACGAGAAAGAAGAAGATGTTATTACAAAAAGATTTCAAATGGTAACAGCTAAAACATTGTAACATTGGACAGCAAACAGTTACGAAGTGCCTGGATGTGTCGGTTGTAAACAAATTTTTTTCAATTTCATGTTTTTACACATGAGCGTTCTGATCGACAATAGGAAGACGAAACAAATGACTATTGATCGCTGACTTCAACACTGTTTTCAACGTCCCATGTCTAAATTGCATGAAGTGTGCGTTACTCAAATATTTCGTATTCTAAGCTGCAATGGTATCGCTGAAGAATTGACGTAGAAGCTAGTACCATTGTGGTTCATTTTGCAACTTAAAAGTTCATTAAAATTTTATTACATTTCATTTTATTAAAATTATCCGTTGATATGTTTTTAAAAATTGTTCCACCTTAAACATGGATGTGCTGAAAACAAAAACAGTCAAACTTTTACAAAATATTTTGAGTGTCTTGTTGATCTTTCACCCACTCGTGTCTTTGACAGTTTTGAGTTTCAAAACTTCAACCTGGCATTTTGGATTGCTGAACTTTGAATTTCAAATTTGTTCGGAAGATTATCAAACAAAATCTGTTGTTCTTGGAAACAGCGCAGTGGAATGTGCTCTGCTGTGCGCCACGCTGTTTCCATCGTGTTCATCTTACAATTTTTTCTCTAATGATAGTGCCTGTCAGTTCTTTACGAATCTCCCTAATCATTTCAGTGTTAAAAGAAGTTTAGTTGACCAAAAATGTTTTTACTATTTTCAAGTAAGTTTTTTATTTTTATTTATTTACAAAATTTCTAAATTGTACAGAAAAATTAATTTTCAATCGAAAACAGGACAGAAATGATTTGTTACAGCAAGGTTAAATTTTTTTTATATCACATCTATTACGGCCAAACATTGCATCCAAAATAAAAACAAAAATTTTAATTATTAAAATGGTTAATGTACAAATTTAATTGTCTATGTCACCACATTGGGTTGAGACATGTTAAAAACCAAATTAACACCACTCAAATCAACATTTGGTCATCGTAGACAAACTGGCCAACCTTGCCATCCGCAAGCCCACATCAGCAAGTTCGTTAAACCCCCCGGCAGCGATATTCAACTCGAGCTATGCAGTGGATGGTGACAGGTCAGCTCTGATCAACATAAACAATTGTTTCCACACTATTTTGCAGCCACCAAACTGGCTGGCTGTTGATTTGTTGGATGTCTTCAGTGTTCGTTACGTCATGCTGGTCAATCGGGGTGACTGCTGTGGTGAGTATTTTATAAAGTTCTTGAATAAATTAATTGTTGTATAAAAATGAAAATTACGAAGATTTCTTTGAACCATTTTTTGTTCCTCAATTGTTGATTTTTTAGAGAATGTTTTAAAAAATTTAAAGGCTTAGATAGTTCAATATTTATTCCCAATATTTGAAATTAAATTAGGATTTGATTGTTTCATATAAAGTGAATCATTCTCTCATTCCTATTTCTGATCGTAAATTTAAAAAATTTCAGGTAAAAGATTATCATACTACAAAGTTGGACTCAGCATGACCTTGAGTTCATCAGTGAATAATTCGAACTACGACCTCTGTGGACAGTACCCTAGAGAAACAGAGACTGCTTTCTGGTACATTATTCTCTGCAAGAATTACTCGTATGGACACAGATTCGTCATAGTACAATCAGTCGATACTAATGCGTTGACTGTTTGTGAGTTGGAAGTTTATGGTCAGTTGTTCGTGACTTTAGTTTGAAAATTTTATTACTAAAATAAATATTTATTTGAAATTTTTCAATTTGTTGAAAAATTATCGTAATAGACTGTTTGTTCACATTGTCAAATCAAAATTGTAAAATAACGTATTTTCGGGATATTGAAAGTTTTTAAAAACATACACTGGTCAAATTAACATAAAAATATTCATGAGACTCCGAAGTCTAAAAATCGTAACACCAATCCAAATAAATACATTAAAATTATTTTGGTTTTAACCTCAAATGCTATGAATTAATAACCAACCAACGATTCATTCAATCAACTAATTAACCAAAGAATCGACCAATCAATGAACCAAATTGAATGAACCAAACGAACGAACGAATTGCGATAAAAACGAAAAAAAAATATTTGCAAGGCTTGTTCAAGCTCGAACAAACACTTAATCGTACAGATCTACAAACAATTTCGAGATTTTAGTAAGAAAGAAAAACACAATAGTTGCTTTTATTTGAATTCATTCAAAAATAGAAAGTGACGGTTAATTAAAATAGTAAAAACGACAATTTTTTTAAAAATTCGAATTTTAAACAAACAAATATAACAAAAAATCAACCGATAAGAAATAATTATAGATTGATTATTATTATTATACACACTCCTTAGTAGTTCTCGAAGAATAATAATCCACGTAACGTGAACATTTAGTAAGCTCAATTCACAGCATATCATAATGACTAAATCAACATACCAAACAGTAATTATTTATATATGCATATATACAAAGTAAATCAAGAAATATCCGAAAATTATATAACCAAATTAAAAAAAATAGAAACCAGTCAACAATTAATAAATTAATAAATAAATAAATAGACATTATAAAAAAGATTGTTCAAAAAGGTAAAATTTAAGGCGACGACGAGAATGAAATGTAGTTTGTTTTGTTGGTGTGGTGCTATGAAGTGAAAACAAACAAACACATCATACAAAACTAGTAAAAAGTCGCAAGAATAGTAGTCAGTCATCTACGTACAATTAAATTACCCTCAGGGCCCTAGCTTACTTATAATCATTATCTCAAATCATCTACCTACAAATATGTATTTGTAGGTAGATGATTTGTATGTATATGTATATGTACATACGTTTTCGGAATTTTACATGTTTTAGGTATTTTATTTTACATATTTCAGCGTTTTTATTTTACTTGAAACTTTTAACTAATGTTAAACCCTAGCCTACCTACGATTGTTCAACTCATCTCAATCCCTAACTTACCTACGAATTAAATTAAGTCTGGTAAAGAAAATAAAAAGTTGAAGAGAAACATAACAACAACGACACCGAATGAATGGTTGTTGTGTATGTGTGTTGTATTGATGTGTGTGTGCGTGTGTAAATGTGCAGACGTGTACTCTCCAGAAACTTCTTCACTCACACTACGGACGAACCTCCATTGCTCCGACCATCATCTGACACGCATTGATGGAATGAATTTGACCGGATACTGAAAAACACTAAACTGAAAAAAATGAATTCTTTAAAATTAAAAATAAGCCATTGGAAAAAATAGGCAACTTATCTTATTGAGATGACATTCAATCCTTCGTTCAAATTCGAGTACTTTCAATGGTACGATAGGACAAAAACAAATTTCCCTTTAATATTATCTTCAAATTGTCATCAAAACGATCATCATGGGACCACCATCTGAAACGTGGTAGGGCTTGTGCCGTTTTAAAACTATCGGGTAACCGTTGACTGAAGGAAAGATTCGTGAGATGAGAGATAGCGATAGAATGTCGACACCTTGAATGAGAACTTGGTAATAAAACTTGCAATAAAACTTCTCCAGTGGAGAAGTTTTATTGCAAGATGATTTGATGATGTTTTTGTTTTCCGCTGGTGTAACATCATCAAATTAGCTGAACCGATGACTATGATCTTCAATAGCGGTTGGATTTACGTTGACAGAATGTACGAGATTTTGTTCCATGTTATTATGAATATTGTCTATTTTACTTATGAAAAAATCATTGAAAGAATTAACAATTAATGTTGCCTTAGACTTATTGAGAAGCGAATGCTTTCTGTTACGAAAAGGTAGCATGTTGAGATTATGCCATGTAGAGCGCGAATTTTTTGTAGAAGTTTAACTTTTGATTTAAAAATTAAATCTCGAGCCGCTTTTTTGGCTCCGTCGTAATTTATTTTATTTGATGCCGTTTTGTTGTGAAAAAATATATATTTATATATATATTATTATTATTATTATTAATGAAACATTTATAAGCGCTAATTAAAATCAAAAAGTTCTCAAAAGCGCTATCTATAATCAAAGTCAAAAAAGAAAAAAGTACAGTCAATGGCGGTAGTAACAAACAAATAATTATTCACTTAACAACAAAATCAAAGCGAAAATAAGTAAGTTTTAAGTTTCTTTTTAAAACCATCAAGTTTCAAATCTTTAGTTCTAAAAGATTTAGGTAAGCTGTTCCAAACCATTGGTCCAGATACTGCAAAATCTCTTGATGCTATCTGCAGATTAACATCGGGTTCAACCAGCAAAATGCCATCATCTGATCTAAGGTTCATACCACTCATCATTATAGACTTTTCTTTTATTTTATTTATCAAATAACTTGGTAACAAGCCATGTACATTTTTATACATTAAAATACATATTTTATATGTATGTATGTATATATATATATATATATATATATATATATATATATATATATATATATAGATTAAAATCTTATTAGAACGATAATTTTAATTTATTTTGTTCTTTGTAAATGGATGACGTTCTTATTTTTATGGTTTTTGTGCTAAAAGTTAATTTGTTTGAGAATCAGATTTTTGGAACGTTACGGGCAATTAAATTCTTTTTTAACTATTTTTCGGGGTGATAATTTTATATAATTTGTTTTTATTTAATTTTAATTTAATTTTTTATATTTTTAAACATTTTGAACGGCTATATTTGTAACATTAAATATTTAATTTGGTACTCCCTGTTTCTGTTTTTATTTTAGTGATTAGTTCAAAATGGCGGCCGCTATGGACGTTGAAGACGATGCCCAGTTCAATATGAATGACAAGAATGGCAGCAAGAAACGTTTTGAAGTTAAAAAGGTGGGAATAGGGCAAAAAATTATTTGAAATAAAAATGAAGAAATGGTTTCAGTTTATTTTTTTTTTTAGATTATTTTATTATAATTTATAGTTATTTTTAAATTATATTTAACATTATTTTTATTAATTAGTAATTCTTTATGGGACTCATCAGTAGTCTGAGTTTAATTACCGACTTAGCACAATTACTATCTCAGTCAGCAATATTGCAAACTAAGATGTCTTTTTAATCTTAATGTAATTCACAAATACATTTTGGTCAATAGAGATGTTCTGCTAGTTTTCTATGGAATACTCTTTGTGCAGTAGCAGGTCAACAAATTCTCACCCTTAAATGTACATAGATTTATGGATTCAAGTCGATACCTTATAACTTATGTGTTTGTGTGTGTGTGTGTTTGTGTGTGTGTGATGTATGTATTCTTACATATTGAATAGAATTCAAAATTTTTTTATAAGCACCTTTGTCGAGTTATACTCAGAAATGCTTTCTTTGCTACATTTTGTTGATAAAATGATACCTTAATATATATCTGCGATAACAGTTATTAATATATATATATATATTATTCATTTGTATATGTATATATGTGTATATATATATATGTGTGTATATATATATATATATATATATATATATATATATATATATATATATATGGTATAAAATTTAATTTATTCAAAATTATCACTTTAATAATTAATTTTCAACTATTCATTATTGTTATATAATAATAATAATCATTATTATTATAAATCAATCTAATAAAAACTTTAATGGCTTTATTTACTTTCAATGGTTTAGTGGAATGCAGTGGCTTTGTGGGCATGGGGTGAGTATTATTATTATAACAATAATAATACTAAATCATAATAATAATAAATTATATTCATAGTAATAATCAATTATAGTCATAATAATAGTAACAAATGATATTAGTAACAAATGATAATGATGCGCAGATATCGTAGTAGACAATTGCGCCATATGCCGGAATCATATAATGGACCATTGTTAGTCGATTACCATATAATACAAAAATATAATAAATTATATTATTGACAATATAATTATTGTTATTATTTTTATATCATTTTTTTATCATCCTTGCACTTGTATGTAAATGTTGAGCATAAGCATTTTGTATATTTATGATAATTGATTTTATATTTTGAGGTTTGATGATAACAAAAAGAGTTCCCATTTTCTTTGTGGTTTTTATTGAACATTATTACATTTTAATCACTTTTTTTTTCATTTTAACGACTTTGGTTGAAATAAAAGAGTTTCTGATTATTGTAGTAATATTACTGATAAATACTAGAAAATAAGATGATGATGAAGATGATCTACTTATCTTGGAATTATATGAGAATTTATTAGGAATAAATTATTTTTAATAATAAAGTATTATTATTGTGGTTGTGGTTATTGTTGTTTGTTTGTTGTTATTATTATTATTATTCTGATTAGGCATAGAATGCCAGGCGAACCAGGCGTCAGCAACTAGTGAGGAATGCACGGTGGCTTGGGGGGTCTGCAATGTGAGTCCTTCATTCGTTCATTCATTTATTTATTCATTTGTTCATCCATTCATTCTTTGTTTGTTCCTCATTTGCTCTTTTTTTTCTGTTCATTCATTCAATCAATCAATCAATCATTACCAGCATGCCTTTCACTTCCACTGCATATCTCGATGGCTGAAGACCAGGCAGGTCTGCCCACTGGACAACAGGGAGTGGGAATTCCAAAAGTTGGTTTTGGTTTCAGTTTTGTGGTGATGTGTTTTTGTGTGTATTTGCGCGCGCGCGTGTGTGTGTGTTGCAGCGTTTGAGGTTGTTGCAGTGTAGTGTTGTTTCAGTTTAACTTTCAGTTTTGTGTAGTTGTTGTGTTGTGTGTGCGGGTTTTGATGTGCAGATGCTTGATCCAATTTCACTTTCTGTTTTGGAATGTAGTTTTGCTTCTGGTTGCCTGGCGTTATTTGTTGTCGTTGTTGTGCCGGTTCAGATTATTTATATAACCTAGATGCAAGATGAATTTGAATGAATGGACGGATGGATCAATTGAATGATGGATGAACAGATGGACTGGTGAATGGATAATAATTAAATAGATTATGGATGGTGAATGAACCAACGCATCGATAAACGGCTGAGTTGATTTGAATCATATACTTTTATTAAAAAAATTTTCAGGTATGGGCATTAAAAAAGTTCCTCCTAGCGTTGTGATGATGACGTTGGTGAAGATAGTTATGGTAATGGTGACGACGATGATGATAAAGACGATGGTGATGATTGCATAACTCATCTCTTACTTTTTTTACATTCATTCTGCATTTTTGTTGCAGTTCATTATTTCTAGGATATTGTGAGTTCAGCATCGCTATTAGTTATTATTGTTATTATTATTATTACCCTATTATAAAGCATTATTATTGTTACACAATCACACATTATTATTATTATTCGTTAACGCTTCGTAGCGTTACTTTCAAATTCTGATGTTTTTAATAATTGTTCGCTCGTTTGTGTTTTATTCTTTGTCGAAAAATAAAAATGTACTAATAACTTAACGTTTACACGGACACGTTTCATCTTAACACGAATTAAGTAGTGAGAACAAGACGATCGTAAACCGGTGCGTTTAGGTTCAATTAATATATCTGATAAGTACTTAGGAAATAATTTAGATTGAGATTTATACGTAAATGTGCAAATTTTAATAATTATTCTACATTTTATAGGTAGCCAGTGCACGAGAACAAGATATGGAGATATATGAGAAAAGAAAGGGGCATGGGCAACTAGACGAGCAGCAGAGTTAAAAGCTTTACTTAAAGGGTAGAGTATAAAATCAGGGAATAATTTAGATTGAGACTTGGTTTGCAACAGAGTAAAAAGCTTTTCTTATAGATCAGAGTGGTTTGAACCATGTTCTCACTCAATCAACAGGGCCACAGAACTCTTACCAGTCAGGCTAACTCGATGATAGAGAATCTGTTTGATCACCATTCTCAAAAAAATCTTGCTTTTTTATTTATCCAGATTTTGTCCTTGTTCAATTATTTTTCAATAACATTTTTTAATTTAAATAAATAAAATGTAAAATTAGTTGAAAAGAATTTATTCAGTAAATAAACAAACAAATGGGCAGAATAACAAACGAGCAAATATATAACATGGACAATAAAGAAAAGAGACAAAGACAGATTGGAAGCATTTGAGATGAAGTGTTACTGAAATTTGTTGGGAATCAGTTGGAGGCAGAAAGTAAAGAACAAAACCATCAGAAATCAACTTGGAAGACATAGAAAGAAAATTGGGATATTTTGGACACATTTGTAGAATGAGGGAAGACAAATTGATTAAGATGGTACTACTGAGGAAAAAAGATTGGAAGAAAAACGTTGGTAGACCTGTAAAGAAATGGATGGATGACATTACTGAATGAACTGGTGTTGGTATTCTGAATTCAATAAAACTGGCCAAAGATAGGTTTTTGGAGAGAAAAAAGAAAAGAAATGTAGAAAGAATGCTTAGCTGTACACCATCAGCCTCGACGGCCCCGCGATGGACAAAAGAGGATCATTGATTAATTGATTGAAATATAAAAATGCGCACAACATACAATCACGTTGTAAAGAGCCGTTGTGCTATTATCTTCACGTACATACAATCATGCATACAAACATACAATCATACATACATCCATATATACACATACATAGATATATAAGAAATATACAATATTTACATGCATAAAGAGAGAGAAAAAAAAGAGAGAGAATATCTTAGACAAATCCTAGGAAACATCCATCCTTTCATCTTCAGAGTAGTTCACTCCAGCTTTCTCTTTGTACATCTCACAGGCCACCTGTATAATAGTAGTTGAGGTTTGAAGATGCGATTGATTGATTGCAAGATTGATTATGTGAATAGTTGGATTGATTGATTGATTGAATAAGTGCTACTGATTGAATAGTTGATGGATTGATTGATCAGTGATGTTGGATTAATAAAATGAATGGACGATTCAACGATGGACTGATTGTGAGCGGTTGATTAGTTGATCTATTGGTAGATAGTCCATTTAAAAACTCCTCACAGAATTTAAATGAACTGACTGATTCAACGAAGCATACGACCAACCAACCAGTCAGCAAACCATTCAATCAATCAACCAACCAAACATTCAATCAACCAACCTTTCAATCAACCAACCCTTCAATCAATTAACCAATCATTCAATACACCAATCAACCAACCCACCTCAAACGTCTTAAGGATATGTTGGCACTGATTATTGAGGTCATTCAGCGCCTTCTTGAATACTTCATCAGATGTCGTTTTGGCTGTGCATGATTGGTGGGTTGATTTGATTGGTTGATTGGTGGGTTGATTTGATTGGTTGATGGATTGATTTGATTAGTTGATTGATTAGGGTACATTCATCTAAGAAAGAGGGCATACGCCTAACTTCACCAACGATGACCACTGACCTTTCTGTCGGACAGCGATTTGAAGCATGAGTTTGTTCTCAAGTGGATGTGGAATGCTGTAGCCAGCCGATCGTACGTCAGGGCTGTTTGTGGAAAATTGAAATGGAAGAAAAAATTGTCAATTCTATGTTTTATAAATTTATTTATCTTTTTGCATTATTCTATGTTGCATACTATTTTGAACTGTTGTTGAATGCTTAATAAAGTTATCTTTCAAATCATGAAAAAGAAAATATAACAATAACTTCAATCGAGTTCAATATGCATATAAATATTTATCCGTAATTTATAAAAAAAAATGTAATATAACTAAAGAAATAACTAATTTAATAATTAATTAGTTAGTTATTCAACAAATTTCACAAATCACTTCTTGTGTAGCATGAGGTTGAGAGCGCCGGCAAGCGTATGGTCCTCCCCAGTTATCACGTACGTCTGACATTTTTCATCGTCGTCATCATCTTTGGACGAATGTACCTGAAAGAAAAGGTTATCAATAATAAAATAATATTTATTTAACACTAAATAATTTAATATTTAATAAGTTAATAAGATAAAATAATTATTTGAGAAAAGATAGCTAATGATGCTAATGTTCATTAGCAAATGTTCCATTTTGTTTAAGATATTTTAGATAAATAAAAACTAAAGCAAATTAAATGTTTTTATGAAATAATAAAGAACTTTAAGTTTAAAAGGATTTTTAGTAATAAATGATTTTACGTTGATTAGTGTCAGAGTTAGTCAGCAGTTAGGGAATGTTTGCTGACTTTAACAATTAGTTATTAAGATAAGTAAATGATTATTAACATTCATTAACGCCACGCCAAAAATTTTTCAATGTTATTTATATTTGCAATATTATAATATTTATTAAAATAATAATTATTACTATAAAAATATTATATAAATAATTATTATTATATTCATGGTGATCATTTTAAAACGGTACCTTCTGTAGTCTTTTAGGATTTACATCTGTCATACTTGCTGTAAGATTCGTGAATCTGAAAATTAACAATAAAAAATAAAAATAGTTTTAAATTAAACTATATTTACGCTCTTACGGAGCACGATTAGTTGCGATAATATAAGTACCACTAAAAGTGAACGGAACTGCAAAGATTTTTTAAATAAATTTTTTTAAATTGTCTATGTTTAAATAAAACTCAAAAATTTAAATTTTTATACATTTTTTTTGTTGAATGTAATTTATGGTTTATTAAATTTACAATAAATTTAAATTTATATTTTTTAACAATTTTGGTTTCTGAAGAAAAAGCTCTTTAGACAATGTTGTTATGTGCTGCAAGTGAATTTAAGTTTGAAGGGTTCTTTTCAATTTTTGATTTAATTAATTTATTAGTTAATCGGAACAAATTATTGATTAAAAATTATTTATTAATAATTAATTAATAAATTATTAATGGATGACATTTAATAGTTAAAAGCAATTCATTAAAATTAATTAATGTTCATATGTTTGACTTTTTTTTTAATTAAATTAAAATATTAAATATTAAATGTTCATTCACATCAATTAATTTCAATTATTTTTCTATTGAAATTGAATGAAAATATATTTTTTTATTTATATATAAAAGTAATTACTTAAAATTTAACTCCAATTGATTTTTAGCTTAGTTTTGCATTTTTAGCTTTCAGAATAAGGTACACGTACTACTCTTACTTACACTTACCTCACATTTACTTACACTAGACTAGATATAGACAATAACCTGATTATAACAAATCAATTTAACATAGTAAAACTCAACTGAACTACACCACTGAGCTAAATAACTAAGCAAGCAACCAGTGAAACTAGCACAAACAGTCCCTAAACTGTTCTCAACCAAACGTCTCCAGCCAAGCGAACCATGCCTACATACATGTGTGACAAATGTAGTTTGGTATGTGCTGACAGAAATGTCCTAACCATTCATATGAGATGTCACACGAATGAGAAACCTTTCAAATGTCCACACTGCCACAAGTCATTCTCTCAGAAGGGAAATTTAAAAGTGCACACGTTGAACGTGCACGAAGTTCAAAACGGTTTGCAGTGTTGTCACTGTGGCAAGGTGTTCAAACACAGGCGGTCATTTGACAGACATCTCATCAGTTGCATTGGGGACGGTGATGGCTTTAGAAATTTTTCTAGTGGGGAGACTGAATTGATTAGAAAAAAAAATTATGATGCTTTAACTTCAACGTCTGCTTCTTATGGTGCCTGCTCTTCATCTTTGTCATCAATACCTTCATCATTGTTAGCATCGTCGTTATTTGTATCTACATCTTCATCAACATCATCTTCATCAACATCATCTTCATCAACATCATCTAAATCAACATCTTCATTTTCATTATCATCTTCATCAACATCATCATCATCATCACCATTTGTATTGTTTCCACTGCCAACAGCATCATCATCATCAGCACAACCTCCACAGTTAACAACGACACTTCTAATCTTTCAAACGAACGCATCATCATCATCACCTCACGTGTTAACATCATCATCATCACCACCTCACATGTTAACATCATCATCCTCATTGTTAATACCATCGTCATCATCATCATCTTTAGCAGCAACCACCTTAAATTCAACTTCGTTTAATAAGAGCTTCAACTGCATTAAAAATTATTTGGAAAATAACTTTTTAGAGTGTCATAATATGGCACCCGACAACAACAACTTCAACAACGACATTAATATCCATGACTTTAATGTTAATAATAACATCACCATCAACAACCAAGACACCAACAGCCATTTCTGTAGCAGTACAATCGACTATGACATCAGCAATGTTGTTAACGACATCAGCAACTACCCCGACAACACTTTTTTAAACTTTTCTGGCTTGCATTCAACAACAGATAACATTCAATACTTGAACAACGTCTGTCTGACTAAGCAACAGCAAGCAACAACATCAACAAATATTTCCCAACAGTTTCAATTGCAGCAACAACATCGGCAACATGACATCATTGTTGGTCAACACTTAACAATTATGAAACTCCAACAGCTGCTGCAACAACAACAATTACTGCAACGGCAATTACAACAACAAAATTTCCAACAACAGCAACTACAGCAACCTCAGCAAAACTCACATCAACAACAACTACAACAACTACGACATCAGCAACAACAACATCAACAACAACCTCACCATTCATTGCAGACCTTATTACATGCTCAGGACAGTCCACTAAACACAAATGACATCAACTCCCCACACCACCAACACATCGCTGACATCAACTGCACCACACCTCTTGGCGACTGCAACGACAACAACAACATTAACGAAAGTTACATCAATAGCAATAGCATAAATGGCTCCCACGAAGGCATTTTTCATATTAGGAAAAACAGTTTCAATGATGAAGTCAGCAACAACATCATCAAACACAACAACAACAACTACAACAACAACATTAAAAACGTCATCGGCTTCTGCAACAACAACAACATCATGCACGACAACAACAACTACAACGACAACAACATTAATGACGTCAACAGCTGCAGCAACAACAACGTCAACAAAAACAAAATAATCGAGACCATCTGCAACAACAATTACAACAGCAACAACAATACCAGCAACAAAGACATTGTCAAAAGCATCACAACATCAGCAACAACAACAACAACACTGACGATAACTACTCCCATAATCACCACAACAACAAAAACAACAAAAAGAACTACAACAACATCGTTATTTCCCGCCAAAAAGAGCAAAACGTCTGCACTCAATTACGAATGTTCGAAATGTGATTTGAAGTTTAAAAGTGAGTCGAAGTTATCGAGTCATCTTGCTGTTCACGATGGCATTCCATTGAGACTCTTCTCCTGTCTTGTCTGCCAGAAAGTGGGGGGTTTGAGTGAATGAATGAATGAATGAGTGAAGGATTGAATGAATAAATGAATGAATGAGGGATTGGATGAATAAATGAATGAATGAATAAATGAATGAATGAAGGAATGAATGAATTAAAGAGTATGTGAATGAATGTATGGTTGAATGAATGAACCAATGACTGAATGGATTAAAGAGTAAGTGAATGAATGTTTAATTGAATGAATTAATAAGAAACCTGATTAAATGACTGAATAGATGAATGAATGATCTAATAAATGAGTGAATGATCATCATCATTATCATCTATAAAATTATCATTATCATTACCACTAGGGGTTCACTCACAAAGGAACGATGAACAACCACGTTCGTTTTGTTCACCTAAGTGAACGACCGTTCACTTGCGATGTTTGCAACAAAGGTTTCTGTAATGTCAGTCATCTTAAAAGGCATACAAAGTTGGTTGGTTAGCTGGTTGGTTGGCTGGTTGGTAGGCTGGTTGGTAGGCTGGCTGGCTGACTGATTGGTTGGTTGGTTGGCTGGCTGATTGGTTGGTTGGTTTATTGGTTGGTTGGTTGTTTGGTTGGTCAGTTGGCTGGCTAGTTGGTTTGCAAATGATCGATTTGTTGATACTTGTCAGATGTTTTTGATCCATCAATACATATCATCATGTCCTGTGGTCGACTGATTGTTTTCATGGGTTGACGGTTTGTTTGGTTGATGATTCGTTGTTTTTTCATTCATCCATTCACTTATTTGCTTATTCGTTCATTCAATCGTTTACTCCTATTTTCTTTTGTTCGTTCGTTCATTCATTCATTCATTCATTCATTCATTCATTCATTCATTCACTCGTTCACTCGTTCATTTATTCATTTTCTACTGACAGCTTCCATCACAAGTCTGACAAGGAAGGCCTTGTGAACGTATGTATTATGATGATGATGGTGGTGATGATGATTATGATGATGATGATGGTGGTGATGATGATTATGATGATGATGATGGTGGTGGGGATGATGATGGTGATAGTGGTGGTGGTGGTGATGATGATGACTATGGTCTTGATGGAACATTTATCTTATTTTTTAAAAGCTGGAAAGCTCAGATGATCAACAACAACATCAACAACAACATCAACAACAACATCAACAACAATCACTTAGAAAAAGCATCATCAATTTCAAAGAGAACGACAACACCACAAGCACCAACACAAGTAACACCCCCACAGCCCACCAACCGATCATCACCACATTTACCACATCCACCACAATTCCTTCAACCACTGCGACAACAACCACAGCAACTACTACTACTACTACTACTAAAACTGCCCCTAAAGCAAAAACAACAGAAGCCTTACCAAAAACAACAGCCGCTACTACAGCAGCTTCACCAACTACAACCACCACTTGTAGCCAGTGCCACAAGCGCTTCACGCAGCTGAGCGCCATGCGGTCGCACGTGCGGTCGGTGCACCAGAGGAGGAGGGAACACCACTGCCAGCGATGTGGGAGATCATTTTCAAGGGCATCACACCTGAAGAGGCACCGGGTCGTTCACGAGGAGGGCCGGCCCTTTGTGTGAGTTGTGGTGTGAGTTTGTTCTGTTGTGTGTGTGTGCGTGCGTGCGTGCGTGTGTGGTGTGTTGTTAATAACTCGATAACTCTGGGGCAAGCTGCAGTAAGAAAACAATGGCCATTATGTTTGAAGGATGACCTTTTCCCATAAAGGTTAACCTTTAAGGGTTAAGGTCATCATTGCATCATACCAAGTCATTGTCATCAGTATCATGATTGCTGATTCTTATCACCGTCACGTCATCACCATCTTCACATCTTTTCTACGTCGTCATCATCATTTTCCTATCATCATCATTATCATCAGCATCACCATCATCTCCACATCATCACCATCATCACCTCCACATCATCATCATCATCATCACAGATGCCCATTATGTTCGAAGGATTTCATAGAGAGGAACAAGCTGAGGAAGCACCTATCAACCAATCACAATCTTCTTCCTGATCACGTGGTCAACGTGGTGAACGAGATCTACGCCGCGGTCCTACAAAACCGGAAAAAGATTAAAAGTGAATTCGAGATAATAAACAGGGATGAGTTTAACATGGAAAACCAGGAGAAGAGCGAAAGGGAAGTTGATTTTGTGGAAAACAAGATGGAGGTTAAAAATGCATTCAAATTTGAAGGCAGGAAGGAGGTTAAAAGTGCATTTAAGAGAAAAAATGAAAGAGTGGTGAAGAAAAGAAGAGGTGTTGGAGTGGAAATAAAAAATAATTCACCATCCAATCCTCCAACTGGTGTTGGAGGATTGGATGGTGAAAGTGATAATGATTACGACGAACGTGGTGATGACGAAGGTAATGATAATGATGATGATTGCGATGATGATAACGATGATGATGGTGGGGACGACGATGCAGATGGTGCTTATGTTTTTACTGGGAAAGTTGCCAAGTATGAAACCGCAGTAAGGAGAAGCGATAGGCATTCGAGGGGACGTTTAAACATTACAAGCAAACGCCGTGATGTTGAGAATCATCATCACCATCATCATCATACTTATAATGATGATGATCATACTTATAATGGTGATGATCATACTTATAATGATGGTGGTGGGGATGATGATAATGATGACGGTGGTGGGCATGATGATGATGATGATGACGATGGTGGTAATGATAATGATGAGCTGGGTGGCGGTGATGGTAACAGTTATAACGGTGATAATGACGGTAATATAGAAACTGTTAATAATAATAATGATAATGATGATAGTGTAATAGAGGATGATACTGACATCATTGTCATCTGTAAGAACAAAATGGTGAGTGATGACGATGATGATGATGATGGTAATAATAATAATAATAATATAAATAATAATGATAATGATGATGATGATAAAAATCATGATGATGTCAAACGTATTAACATCAATGATGCTGATCATAACGCGAAGAAACAGACTGATAATGATGAAGATGACGGTGATGATGACGATGATGGTCGATTGGCGAGAAACTCTGTAATCATTGAGAAGATTTCAGATGATGAAGTCGAGGCTGTTGATGTGAGGGATGGTGATGACGACGACGAAGAAGAGAATGATGATGATGATGGTGGTGGTGGTGGCGGTGGTGGTGAAGAGAGCGAGAGTGATCATGATGATCTTGTCATAGAGACGGAAGATGATGAAGAAGATGATGAGGTCTCCAATGATGGCGCTGTTAGTGACGGTGACGTTGGTCCTGAGCATTGTAACAACGATGGCTCGGCGACAAACGTTCAACAACACATCAATCTTATTCACACATCTGAAACGACTGGCCGAAATTACGAGAGATGTCAATCTTTGGTCGCTTTCCATCAAGGAACCAATCAAACGCCGTTATCAAGTGGTCTGGGTGGAGTCAAAATAGTTAGCTCCAGGCAGAAACCTGATCAATCAGTTAATGTTAGAAAATCTTCTCGCATTCAAACTCGTAGAAATCTCCACATGCAATCCACCACTGAACCTCAAGAACCGACTCACCTCGTCTCGTCATCTTCGACTTCTCACACACCAAACATTAGAAGCCAAAGAACTTCAAGTCTATCGCATTCAAACACAACTCAGGAGAAATTAATATCTTCATCCTCGCTGACGTGTCCCACATGCTTCAAAACCTTCCTCAAGCCTTCCTACCGATTGAAACACGAGCAACTTCACAAGAGGGGCAGCATCTTCCAATGCGATCGTTGCAGTCAGCAATACAGACAGAAGTCCTCCCTCCAAGCTCATATGCTCAAACACACCGGCTTCAAACCCTTCAATTGCCACATCTGCCAGAAAATGTTTTCCAAGAAGCATAGTTTAAAGAAGCACCAGTTGGTGCACAGTTCAGATGAGAGGTCCATGTTCAAATGTTCTCATTGTCCTCGCAAGTTCACCCATCTCTCTACTCTCATCCACCACTTGAAGAACCTGCACAACGCGATCGGCGTTGATGAACTTCTGAAAGAAAGAAGTGAACTGAAGATGAAGTTGAGAAGTGAGGCACTCACTCGTGATCCCAAGCCATGGAAGTGTCCTCATTGTGAAAAAGAGTTCAGCCACAAAAGTTTGCTTTCGATACATTCTCGCGTACACAGCAAGCTGAAACCCTTCGTTTGCCCTGTTTGTGCTGCCCGGTTCACTCAGCTTGGTTCACTCAAGTCGCACATCAGTTGCGTCCATTTCGGGGAGAAGTCTCACACGCGCAAAAACACACCAGCCGTTTCAACGACACTGACAACATTATCGACAGCAGCACATCAGCAGATCTGACATCTGTGTATGCTGATGTAATTCGTGCACATTGGTAACATATCGAAGAATGGTCACAACAACATGTTGAAGAACAACCACAAAACTCTGATTCACCCGTTTAGGTTCAACCCGACAGTTGCCGCCCACTAAATGGTCAGCAGTTGCTGAATTCTGTGTTTTATAACATACGTTTTAAACAACGTTCATCAGATTCAACAAGAGCAATCTTGCACGTTTGCGACATTTTTTTTGCAACATCCGCAGCACCTTCGACTGCGTAAATCGAGGTTGGAACAACAATCATCATGAAGACCCTCGGACAGCATCTACATTAATTTCAGCCAAACACTAGGAGGGCACTACGTTGCAGAATGTCCGCTTGCTGAACCGACCGAATGATACGATTTGACCGACGAAGCATTCGCCAGACTTGTAATGAATCATTTCTGTTGATAGATAGATAGATAGATAGATAGATAGATAGATAGATAGATAGATAGATAGATAGATAGATAGATAGATAGATAGATAGATAGATAGATAGATAGATAGATAGATAGATAGATAGATAGATAGATAGATTGATCATCATCGTAGTTGCCTGTCTTGCCTGCCTTTTCTAATTGTTATTATTGAATTTGCGTGATCTTTTTGTTTTTAAACATTTTTCCAATTAGTTTGTTCATGTTTAAAATTTTTTGTCTTATTAAAATTTTGTTCTCGAAAACATTTTAATACACCTCTATTAGATTGGGTTTTCAATAATATGTCTCATCCTTTTCAAAAAAATTCTTTCAATAGCAAAATTTTTATAATTACATTTGTACCGTATTTACCTAACCGAAACATCAAGAGGTAGGCCTATTAATTGAATGCTTGCTGCTGAAGTGCTATCTTTCAATTCCTATGCAAAAAATCCGCAATGTATTTGAATAAAAACATAAAATAATGAAAACACAATTGAAATAGAACAAACAATTAGAAATGTGTAAATGGTTCTGCGTACGTCAGAGCTACATAATAAAGAGCAAAAAATTATTACATAACGTTTTCCATAAACAAACTTCTTTATTCTTATCTGCGTTTTATCGAATTTAAAAACGTTTAAAAGTAAATTTTAGTACTAACAAAATGTGACCTGTACAAAAAAGTTAATTATTAATATCTAAAATTCGCCCTAATCAATTTCAGCGTCCATTCGGAACGAGAGCAACGGAAAAGATGTTCTACAGTAACAAGTTGGCGGTGTTGTTAAACCGGTGGCCGGGCAAGGAGAGGTTCGGCATGTACAGATTCCTTCCAGTGTTCTTCGTCCTGGGGGCCGTTCTCGAGTTCTCCATGATCAAGTGGCAAGTCGGCGAAGTGAACTTTTGTTAGTGTTTCTCTCTGATTTGTTGGTTGAGTTGATTGTGATTCATTGGCTTGAATTAAAAACCTAAATTAAATACCAAATGTCAACAACAATAATTAAGTAGACATAAAAATAAATTTAATAAAATTATAGCATGATTTCTGTTAATAAAATGCAATTCCATAATTCAGACTCCATCTACAAAAAGAAACAAGCCCAAAAGATAATTCTTGCTGAAATGAACAATGCTGCAGACGAAAGCGTCTAGAGAGCGGCAGAAGAGTTTCTTGTCCAGATTTCTAAATGACATCATAATAGCAAACTATTTATTAAGAAGATGTAATGGTGAATTGTATACAATGTACTGGTGTAGTAATAATAATAATATTAATAATAATTTGATAGTGGGTTATGATTTAGTTGGTAGTGTCATAAATTGTGATTTGTCATTGAGTTGTTTAGCGTAGTAAATCAATAGAATGTTTGATTTATGCCTCACTTATAGTGACTGTGGCCTCATGTTACATATTTATTTCTTTTAACTTTTTATTATTTAAATTCATCCCTTTGTATGCATATCGAAACGTGTTTTTCTCTTGCCATTTGAAGACTGTAGCATTTTTTGAAAATAGGTTTTTATTTAAACTGAGAAATATTGATATGGAGCTGATATAAAAATATCAAAATGTAGTTTAATCAGCTACAAATGTTGAATTACACATAGGAAAGATAGAAGTGTTTGATCTAAATGTTGATCCGGAAACAATTACATCATTACACTGCATTTTTATACTGTTGAGATCACCCATTGGCCCAATAATTACTTCTCTTGCTTCCAGTTAGGCCTATAATGGGAGAAATATTATAGGGCAGTTTCTGTCGAAGAATCCATAACTACAAATGTTACTTATAATAAATACAATGATACAATGATAAGATTGTAGTAAAATTTTGCTCGAAAGTTAAATTTCAAAATTTTTATGTTTCTTAACGGATGAATTCAAGCCATTTGTTGAGGGAAAGACTCATTTTCGAAAAGTTTTATGGTTCCTATATGCAAGATTGTTTGGTTGCGCTATTATGGTTTATAATTTTCATGAATTCTCAACCTTGATTGTCGTCGTTGCCATGTAAGAATAAAATAAAAATTTGTTCCTATTGTTCGTTCTCTGTTCCTAATGTTTTTCTTTGTTTCTGCTATTACTCATTCTTTTCAAATTTCTGTGCTAGTTGATCGCATGTTGGTGGGAAGATTAAAATTTTTTCAAAATGCTGAAAATGCTCCCTTGAATTGGCAGCAAATGGACGTGTGAGCAAGCAGGAATCAAAGCATATAAAAAAGCAGATTAATAAGTTTTTTAGATGAGAAGTTCACGCAGCGAGAAGGCGCAGTGTTTTGAACTAGACACAACGCGGTAGGCACAGATCTGCTGAGAAAATACGAAACATTTCTTAAAATTCTGTAAGCTCTTCAAACGAAGGAATTTATATCAACTGGGAATGGACTCGTGTACTTAATTTAATTATTCGTTTGTAGAATGATGTTAACATTGAACAAATAGTAAGCTTTTACCAACGTACCAGCATAATAAAATGTGAAGATGTTTTCTCACAATGGAATCATTAAATTAATTGTTTAAATTTCAATCTCGTGTTTCCTGGATTGGATTCGTGTAACAAACATACAGACAAATAAAGTAATAAGAATAACTCTAGCGCCTCAAATTTTATTAACATGAGTTTTAGCATCACTATATTTTGGCATTTTTATATTGCAAATCATTGGACCAGTCCACTTTATAATTTACAAAGGGGTGTACAACATTCGGATTTTGAAATAACTCATGAACATTTATCCGTACAGTACACGGAGAGCACAAATAGCGTGCAGGCATACTTTCCAACGATGATGGTTTCATTGGTCGATTGAGAACTAATCTTTCTGCAGTTGCTCTACAAACTTTTTCAGGCTTGCTGCAGGCTAAGGTTGGGTTGTACCACTTTTGTGGTTCTGAGGGTGGAACAGGATTGCGTCTGTGTTGTTTTATCAACCTCGTACTTTAACAACATCAAAGGGTGCATTCCAGAGATTGGACTTTTATTTCCTTCATTTGTTCTCTGATTAAAACATTCTTAAATTAAAACATTTTCTTTCATGCATTATCTCCTCTCTCTCTCTCTCTCTCCATTTTAGCATTTTATTGAATACTTCTTTATTTTTTATTTAACTTTCTTATTCTTTCTATCATTTTTTCATTTTTAATACGTTAATACGTTACACTTCAATACGCTTTCATTCTCCACCAACGTTGCCCTCTCCACGTCAGGATCTCAACTCCACACAACTACTACACCTATGTACATAAGTACATTGTACGTACGGATTATTATCAAAATAAGAATGTACACAAACACACACACACGCACGCAAACACACACACACACACATGTACGTGCATAAATACGTCTACACATAAAATGCAGACAAAAACATTTGCCTAAATACATTTACATATATATATATATACATACATACATACATACATACATACATACATACATACATACATACATACATACATACATACATACATACATACATACACACACACATACATACATACGTACATACATACAACTTGATACTACAAATACTCCAAGTTGTATCACTATTTCATATATTACATACAATATTACATGCTACAACTTGGATGGTGAACTTGGAAAATGTTTGTTGAGAGTCCTACAGCACGTGCGTCAATGAATGGAAGGATGGGATTTGATATTATTACATTATTGTATAGATTCCAGTCACTCCAGCAATAGCAGTTCCTCTTCAGAATGAAAAATCATTCTTTTTGAAATTGGGTCAAAATTTTTTTTTCTTCAAAGTCAAGTGAATTAATAATAGTTTTCAGTCTTTATTATCATAAATAGAAATAAATATACAAATAAACAAATAAATAAATGTATACATAAATAAACAAATATAAATACAAATACGTTTAACAAATGTATGATTACTCCACTGTTTATCTGCACATAAATACAAGACGGGCATGGATGGATACTATAAAGTTACATGGAATAATAAATAATATATATATAATATTATATATATATAATATAATATTATTTAATATATATATATATATATATATATATATATATATGTATATATATATATAGTATAAATAAACATTGATGTAAACACGAGGTGTGTTATTTTAATATTGCATTGGTCTTGCTCTAGGTTTGAAAATTTGGTTTGAAATTTTGTCGGGAAATAATAGCTATGAAAAATTTTATGCGGATTAATAAATAAGTGATTAGGTAATTAAATATGGATGTAGATGGATGAATTGATGGATGATTTGATGGATGAATTGACTGCTGGGGTGGTTATATTTGATTGTTGCTTAATAAATTGTTAACTTTTTTGGCCTGACAGATTTTGATGTGAAATTTTTCGATTCGACTTTAGTTAACTCATCTGAGGCAGAATTTAAAAATTGAAACATTTGCAATATCAGCAGCAGCAGCAACAAAATCAACAACAACATCAACAACAACAGCAACAACAAAATTGCAACTACTACAACATCAACAACAACTACAGCAACATCAACAACAACAACACAACAACAACCACGTTGATAAAACAACTCAACAACAACAACAATCGCAACTACAACAGTATCGACAACAACTTTATTATCAATTTGCAAATTTATAATTTATATTGGAAAAAAATCAATCAATAAAAATTTTATCACCAATCAAAATTAAGCTCCTAAATGGATTTTAAAATTTAACCAATAACGACGAAACGTCAATTTGGACTTGAGAATTTTTACCAATAGCAATCAAGTAACCAAGCGAAAGTGAAATTACCAACCAATCGAAGTCGGACAACCAAAGAGGAGGTGAGAATATCAACCAATCAGAACCGTTCAATCATTCAAAACGGATTTTAAAACCAAATCAACGCGTAACGCTCTGGCCAAGAAGAAGAACGGTAAGTAAAAAAAGAAAAAAAATTAACATTCATAAATTATGTTAATGATCTTGCGGCACCCCCCTTAAAAACTTCGATGCTAGTAAATATCGGTAATTATAACGATATATCGATTCGATACGTTACGATACGATACGTTTTTAACAATGTTTTCTCATTAACCATTGACCCCAGTCACGTAACTCGCTTTACTAGTCAAACATAGGAATATAGGTAACGAACTGTATAAGAAAAATTTTAAAGTGGCCGAATCATTCTGAAATAAAAATAACCTTGAAATTGAAACATTTTATTCTAATTTAACAAATTTATTTCTTAAATAATGCTTTAATGTTTTGGAGTAGATTTTGTTTTTGTGATGGTATTTTTGTGTTAATGTCATTTGGCAGAAAAATATTGTGTTTGTGTCGTAGTTGTTGTGATTGTTGAGGCTATGGTTGTTGCTGTTGTTGTTATTGTCGTTGTTGTTGTTGATGTGTTAAGGGGCTATTTACCTGTGTTTGTTGTTGTTTGTGATGTTTATTGATGTTGTTGTTTGTTGTTGTGGTTGTAGTTATTGATGTTGTTGTTGTTATTTTCACCACCACACTTCAGCTCCATCAGGAATCTCCGTAGATGATATAATAGAAAAAAAATTTCAACACGCGAGCTGATAAGCTTGATATGCTCTATAAATATTTCTAATGTTGGCGATGATGATGATGATGATGATGGCAATGATGAAGATGATGAGGAGGAGGATGATAAAAATGATGGTGATGGTGATGATGATGATGGTGATGAAGAGGAAGATGATGAAGAAGAAGATGATGATGATGACTACGACGCAAACAATTTCGTTATCATCACCAAATAAAGTCGTTGGCATCAACGGGATTTGAACCCGGAACATTCATCACTGACGCCATAACGTTACGTGAAATTCACCAATTCTAAATCTTTTCCGTATTTAGTCTGACAAGACATTCTGACATTTAGATAAATACCTGTAACTCATTCATATCCTTACATTATATATACATTCTAATTATAATGAGTCATGAATAGCTACACAACACACACACACACACACTTACATATACACACAAACATACCACACGCACACACATAACATACACGCACATACACATACACATGTGTAAAATGTATGTACAGTACATATAATACTAGCATACAAAACATGCACACTATGCAATGAATTTGTTTATTTTATTATAAAAATATGTACATATGATATTTTAGCTGTATAGATATGAACAGTGTGTGTGTGTGTGTGTGTGTGTGTGTGTGTGTGTGTGTGTGTGTGTGTGTGTGTGTGTGTGTGTGTGTGTGTGTGTGTGTGTGCGTACGAGTGTATGTATGCATGTATGTGTGTATGTATGTATTTATGTATTATTATTATTATCATCATCAGGCAAATTTAAAAAGCGCAAATTGAAATAGTTTAAGTTTTAAGGTTTTTTTTAAACTGTTAAGATCTTGGCCCGGTTTTCATAAGGACAAAGGCAGACTGCTCCATGCGGCAGGTCCAGCTGCTGCATTCCAAGTTGAAATTTTTTTGACGGGAAAGCCAGTAAATTTTGCTCGTCTCACCTCAAACAAGCACCTGTTGACTTTGTTTTTTTTTATTGAATTTACATGCTAAATATTCAGGTGCTAATCCATTCAACGACTTGAACATAATTAGAATAATTTTAAAAGTTATTCTTTTTCTGATCGGCAACCAGTGAAGGTCTTTCAAAATCATTGTAACATGATCGAACTTTAACTAACCAGTTATCAACTTAGCGGCCCGATTCTGCACTGGCTGAAGCATGACAGTTGATATGTTGGATAAACTGTAGAACAGACTGTTGCAATAGTCCAGCCGAGAACTAATAAATGCATAAACAAACATCTCTATTGTTTTACGATCAATCACATGTCGAATCTGATATAACCTTCGGAATTGTATTATGCTCGAGGTTCGCAACTTCTTGATGTGTTCATTCATTGAAAGTTTGCTGTCGAGTATACAACCCAGGTTAGATGCGACACCAACGAAGGGTATTTCTTCACCAGATATGATGATTGCTTTCGTCTCAAACCTTACCAATTGTTGCCAGGTACCGATTGGAAGCAATTGGATCTTACATTGGCTCAATTTCAAACAGTTACTTGACATCCATGAATCAACGTTCGACAAACAACTGAAACATCTTCCAATCTCGTCTCCAAACAAGCTTCGTTATAATTATAGTTACGTTAAAATTATTTGAATGTCGCCTGCAAAAGCATGACAGACGAAACCGAAAGATTCAATCACTTCAACTACATCCGCAGTGTATAACGGAAACAGAATAAACCCAAATATCGAATCCTGGGGTACTCCTGGCCGGATCCATGTGTGTGTGTGTGTATGTATGTATGTATGTATGTATGTATGTATGTATGTATGTATGTATGTATGTATGTATGTATGTATGAATGTATGTATGTATGTATGTATGTATTGGTCTGCGTGTCTGTGTGGGTAAATATTTGTGTATATGTATGTATGTATGTATGTATGCATGTATGTATGTATGTATGTATGTATGTATGTATAGGGCTTAGACAAGCAATTAAATGTTTTTCAACGCGAGCCAACTGTATTGGAAGTTATTTTTATCCATGCCAGTCATCATGTTTTCAACAAACCAACATCCTTTTCCTCATCATCATCTTCATCATCATCATCATCCTCACCATCATCATCATCATCGTCATCTTCACCATCATCATCTTTTTCTTCATCATTCTCATCACAATCGTCGCTAAAAAAGATAATCATCTCAAAATTTAAAAAATTATCTAACTAAAAATACAATGCAAAACAATCATTATAGGAGGTAGGAGATAGTTTATCACAAAAAAAATTGTTTATCACAAAAAAAATTATGCATCACACCACACACTCACACACACACACCCACACACAAAAACACACACATCTTCAACATAACAAAAACAAACAAACAGACATTATAAAAAATTGGCTTGACCTGCATTTGAACCGACCACGACGCAACTGTTTCCTGAACAATTGCGCCAAACATGCCAGTCGTTTGTCTGACCGTGCTGTTTTAATATCGTTCAGTAACGTCAAATGTGTGTGTTCGTGTGTGTGCGTGCGTATGTACGTGTGTGTATGTATCTGTGTGTAAGTAGTTGTTTAAATAGTAAACAAAAAAGTAAAAGATGTAGCAGTAACTGTGTTCGATTGCAAAGAGACCCCCGCCTACGCGTTAGTTCATGCATAAAAGGTTAAAGGTTAGAGGTCAATTTCTTTTTCGCGCTTGCTTCAAAGATTTCAACGACAAATACACACAGCGTGGGTCTGTTTGCATTCGAAGCCAGTCTCGCAACCGCAGGACCAGGCGCCTCTAACCATTGAGCCATCACGCCAAACTTACATATATACTACGTGCTTGTTGTTGATAACTCGGAGAAATTTTGAAAAAAATTGTAAAGTTGTCATCTCTGGTGGCTGGTCTGATGGGGCATCGTCAAAGGCTCCATGCCCTCCTTCGCTGCAGTGACCCCTATCACCTTCTGCAGTGTGCGTGTGCGTGTGTGCGTGTGTGTGTGTGATGCGTTGGAGTTGGATTTTACGTGTATTTACAAGCTCTGCGTTCTGTGTGTGTTTGTCGCTGCTGACATCCCTGAAAACTGTAATGATAAAAATAAATGAACAAAATCCTGTTACATGATAAATGGTATTTAAATGTTACCTTCATACATATATGTGTTATATATGTATATCGACATACACACGCAAACAAACACACACATACACACACACATATACACACACAAACACGAAGACATACACACACACAAACATGCACACTTAATGTAAATAAAGTATGCGTTATGTATTGGTTATGTATGTATAGGAAGTTTGGGGTTGCATGGTTGGTCGGAGTTGTTTACATAAGTTTTGCAAAAGTGAAACATTCATCTGTGCCTCAATTTGTGTGCGTGTGTGTATGCGTGCGTGTATGTGTTGGTCTGCGTGTCTGTGTGGGTAAGTATTTGTGTATATGTATGTATGTATGTGTGTATGTATGTATGTATGTATGTATGTATGTATGTATGTATGTATGTATGTATGTATGTATGTATGTATGTATGTATGTATGTATGTATGTATGTATGTATGTATGTATGTATGTATGTATGTATGTATGTATGTATGTATGTATGTATGTATGTATGTATGTATGTATGTATGTATGTATGTATGTATTTTATTTTTTATTTATTTATTTATTTTCTCAAAAAAGAGGGGTAAACTAAAAAGCAACCAAGTGCTTGTAGGAAAGTCACCCTATCCATTGAAATTATGTATGTATGTATGTATGTGTGTGTGTACATGTGTGTGTGTATAAGTGTGTGTATGTGTGTATCTGCATTAATTATTTTGAAGGAAGCGGTATGATAAAATTTAAATTTTTATGGTAATGAATTTATTTTTAACGTATATGAATTTGTTTTAAAAAGTGCACACATAAACACACACACACACATATGCACGCACACAAACACACACACACAATAACACATTTCTGTCGAGCTATTAGGTTTGTCTAGTTTTTTATTCACCGTATTAAATATATATTTTTGTGTTTTTCAGTTTTGTTTCCACACACAAAACACATTTTTTGATTAAATATTTTATTTGCCTCTTTAAAATATTTCTTACTTTTTTGAAAGTTCTCATGGCCGAAGACGTATGAAGGCATTGCATTAATCAAGCTCCTCTCTTGCCAGCGAGTAACATCAGACATGTTACAAACAACTGTCCTCGACATTACTCTATATATAACTCTCTCTAACTGTTGAATGATTGAATGGATGGATGAATAAATGAATGAATAAATGAATGAATGAATGGATGAATGAATGAATGAATGAATGAAAAAATGAAAAAAAACCAATAACGAATGAATGACTAAATTATTGGTTTTGATTAATAAAATACAAATAAATAATAGAATTCACAGTGTAACATTTGATGTTAAGTACAACCGTGTAAAAAAAAGGTGAGACATTTGAATGCGTTGTATTTAGCAGATCTACATACAGACTGCACAGATGTTTGCGTACAAAAGACAAACAAACATATACAAACATATACAAATATAACATATACAAACAAACAAACATTTGCAAACATGTACATACATATACCAATACAACATATACAAATACAACATATACAAACAAACAAACATTTGCAAACATATACAAACAAACAAACATATACAAATATGTTCAAAAAAACAAACAAACAAACATGATCAAACAAACAAACATATACAAACATGTGCAAGCAAACAAACAAACAAACAAACATATACAAACAAACACATACAAACTCATACACCTAGACTTTTACTACTGACACCAGCCTACATAGAGAGCCTTTCTGTATTCATTACATAATACCTTTAACTTCCATATGTTGTAACATGCACGAGTTGCATCAGTTTACAGACGCCTAACACATATCTGCTGGAAGTTTCCCATAATCTGAAATATATGGAGATGATTTTTAATTTTTTTTTTTTGGATTCAGTTGATATTTTATTTGGACGGTGTTTGAAGCCGGTCAAATATAGAGTTGATCTTCTAACAAAGCAAGATAATAATAATACACACACTCACGCACACACACACACACACGCACACACACATACATACACACACACATATACACACAGACACACACGCATGCACACAGACACACACGCATCGCATACACGCACACACATACACATAAACGCACACATACACACACACAGACCCACCAAGCGATTTAGATGTGAGCGCTTTGAAGGAAACCACCAATCCACTCCTCATCTACTTTTCGCCTGAAGACACTTCCACCACCACCACCACACCATCTACCACCACCACCACCACATCATCATCATCAGCAACTTCAGCAACGTCAACAAGAGAAATGGAAGGAAGCGAAATATCAGAAAATAAACAACAGCAGTTAGTTGATGGATGGATGGATGGATGGATGGATGGATGGATGGATGGATGGATGGATGGATGGATGGATGGATGGACGGACGGTTGGACGGTTGTATGGATGAAAAATGTAGATGTATGAGTAAATAAAAGAAGGCGATAAAAAGATTAAACAATGGCAGTCTGAATAGGCAGCTAAGCCGGCCTCATTTACCAAAAAATGATCTCATTAAAAATAAAACCGTCTAATGCATTGCTGATAATTTTTAAAAAACTATTACATAAAATATACCCTCCAAGAAATACTATAATTGATCTCATTCGTTATAGAATACTCCCAAGACGATAAAGTATCGTGAATCACTTAAGCACAAGGCCCTGAATAAAGTATGCATCGTTAAAGTATGAACAGAGTCTGTTGAATTACCATCTACAAAAAATTTCAGTTGTGCGCGCTTATTAACTCAACAACAATAACAATTTTTTTCCAAGCTCTCCATTCTATTTTATTCTACTACTCTTGTTGACCTTCTATGACCTCGTTGACCCTCTATGACCTCGTTGCCCTCTACAACAGTGGTTCTTGATTCCGTGTTGTTGGGTTGCCTTCATTTGCGTTGCAGTTCAATTTTGACTTATAGTTGGGTAATGATGATGCTGATAGATGAATGAATAAAAAAGATGGATGGATGGATGGATGTGCAGATGTCGAGGTAGATGGAAAGATTAATTTTGAAAAAGATGTGGATTGATTAATGTAGGATTGATGGGGTTGAAGGAATGCATGTAACCTTCCTAATATGTTATTTGCGTTTACTTAATAGTCAGCAATAAAATGGTTTATGGCGGGCCGAAATAACTCTTGCCTAAATTCAGCAATGAAAGTAGATAACTACTTTTTTAGTTTTGTAAAAAATAAATGGATTAATACATAACTCAACTTAGATTGATTGGCTAAGTTCAGCTGAGTCAATAATTAAATTATCGAATTAAGGAAAATGTTGATAAAAAAATTTGAAATATAAATAGATATACATATATATGTGTGTGTGTTTTCTGTGTGTTTGTGTGTGTGTGTGTGTGTGTTGTTGTTTATGGACTGGTTTGTATGTGTTTATATATGCTTTGAGGTATAGAGTTTTTGGAGTGAACTTCTGAAAAAAATGATTAAATAAAAATGAAAAATTATATTAAAAATAAAAATAAATAAATAATAATTTGTAGCATATACCGTGTTATACACCTATACCCACTTACATATTATTTTTCTAAACTTAAAATCCACTATGTTGATAGCCTGAAACAAAGCAAACGCATGGGCATTGCTGAATAATAAAATTGCTAGCGTTGCATTAAGTGTTGTTACAAAGAGTCTGCTCGTATCTCCACTCTGCCTACTGATAATTTAGTTTTGAAGAAAAATATCAAAAGCAAATAATTTCCCTTCCATATTTTGGAAGTTTATCAGCATGAAAGCTTTCCTATAACCAGCTTGTTATCCAAGGTTTAAAATTTGTTTGTAAATCATTTTTCCTATCTTTAGTTCTTAAAATTGTTATTCAATAGCTTTTTTAATGCATTATATTAAGAGTTGGGGCTAACTGACACACATGTTTGTGATTATTTTTGAAACTTTCACGCTGAAACTAAAGGAATTAATTTTTTATAATTCATTAACGCTTGAAAAAACAACCTAAAATTTGAAAATCTAAAATTTAAAAACGTAATCAAATTTATTATAAAAAAACATCTTCAAAAAAACTACACAAGAATATCCAACTTTTAACAAACAGCATCTCAAACGGAGCCACATAAATTTCCAAAACAAAATAACATCAAATATGGACAACAACAGACTAACGAAACAACCTCACCTTAAAATAACAACAAACTAATGAAACAACATTACATTGAAACAATAACAGATCAGCAAAACAACATCACACTGAAACAACAACAAGTTAACGAAACAACATCACCTTAAAACAACAACAGATTGTCAGACGATGAGGACAGCGAATCTTTCGAGAGTACGAACGCGCCGAACTCGCCGCACTCCTCCGCATCGGGCAGTCTGCGCAGACCTTTCGACGACTCACACATCGACAAAGACATCTTGGAGGACAACCCGGAAGAGTTCACGACGAACATCCTACGCAACAAAGTGGCCACTCTTCTCGACAAATGCGACCGCCTCGAAAGGCAGAAGAAGGCAGCCGTGGATTTGTTGGCCGAGAAGAAGAGGAAGTTGGAAGATGTCAACGAGAGTTTTGAGGGCAGGTTGAAAACTTTCGAATGCGAGAATCAAAAGTTGAGAGCCGAGAATGATCGATTGGTTGACAGGTTGAACCTGCCTGACAAGGAGAAATCTCTTTTTGTGATGTTGCAGCAAGAAGTGGCGGACCTGAAGAAAAAGTTGGTGCTTGCTATATTTTAATGTGATAAAAATAAAATGCAAGCATTCTTTGGAATATAATTTAGGACCGGGTTTTTAATAATAATTCATTGAATGCAGAACCCAACAAACAGGTCAGAATGAATGCACACAAACCGGAGCCCCGAACCCCGGAAAATTTTCTAAACACACCAAAGCATTTTACAACAATTTCACACAACAAAATATTGGATCACATATAAACACAGACACACACACACACACACACACACACACACACACACACACACACACACACACACGAACACACACAAACAAACACATACATTCCAATAAAGGTTGGAGGAATCAGAGCAAAGGTGCACCGATGCATGTGAGGAGATCCAGGAGTTGAGGCAGGAGGTGAGTGATGGCCGGCTGGAGATGTTGGAACTGCACGACCAGTTCAGAGAGGACGAGGCTGTCGAGTTCAGAGAGATCCAGAAGGAGCTGGAATCTACCGCCAAGAACTGCAGGATACTCCAGTTCAAGCTGAGGAAGGCTGAGAAGAGGTTTGATTGGATGGATGGATGTTGATTGGTTGGTTGGTTGGTAAGTTGTTTGGTTGGTTGATTGATTGTTTGGTTGGCTGGTTGTTTGGTTGGATGGTTGTTTGATTGGTTGGTTGGTTGATTGATTCTCGATTAATGGATTGATTGTTTGATTAGCTGAATGTTTTTTACTGGTGTATCGTGTCACATGCCATCATTTATTCTGTGTTACACAAACATTGATGTATGCTTCGAATGACCGCGCAAACAACAACCCACCACCAACAACAACCCACCACCAACAACAACCCACCACCAACAACAACCCACCACCAACAACAACCCACCACCAACAACAACCCACCACCAACAACAACCCACCACCAACAACAACCCACCAAGATGTGAGCAACTGGAACTGGACAAACGCTTAACAGAGGAGAAACGCCGTCTCCACCAACAACAATCATCATCAACACCGCCGCCAACAACTACAACAACATCAACATCATCACCTCACATCAACAACATCAACAACAACTTCAACAACAACGTAATGACTCACTCACATGATGGTGATGATGAGTATGACGATGAGGATTTTGAGAGGATGAACAATCGTCTGAAGAGGCGGGTCATCGAACTGGTGGAGGAGTTGAAGATGGCAAAGGAAGTTTCGGTCAGTGAATTATGACGACATCGTCATCATCATCATAACCATTATCATCATCATCGTCGTCCTTGTCTTCTTCATCATTAATATCATTATCATCATCGTCATCACCATTATTTCCATCATCATCATTATCATCATCATCATCGTCGTCATCATCATCACCCTCAAATTTCACCCTCAAATCAT